CTCACTTGGAATCATCGAAATGATGCCTGTAACCTTTCTATCCTCATTCTCTTGCTCCTGCTATTATATAATGCCTTTGCGGTCAAAGGTTGACTAGAAAAAAGAAATGGATGAATGAGTATGCTTAGAATAGAATAAAATGACAGGACAACGACCCACTTTAGGAATTGAATGAGAAAAGAAATGGATGATAAAGATGGTCAGACATGAGGCGATACAATGATCGGTTAAGAAGAGAGGGATGGATGGAGTCCGATCTTATAATGGCAGTGAGAATATGCATTAGTTGAATGGGTTCGGTTCAGTTTTCCGTGCCGCAATTACCCTCTCTCTCACTCCTCTCCGCCGCTCCGCCTCCTGTGGTCGTTGAGGTCCTCCAACGGAGATAGATATATGACGGCGGCTCTTCATCGTAATGGTTGTTACGTTGATGCAATTGCATGGCTTCCATTTATGTCTATTTTAATTTAAGCCAGAATCCGTTGGCATTGGTTACGTGCATCCATGCAGCGTTGTGGTTGTTAGAGGAGCTGAAGAGGAAAGAAGAGAAATTACCTTTAACCTCTGTGATTTGAACCGTTCCGTACCACCATTCATTTTATCTGAGAATGAGAGAGGTGATCATCATTCGGTAATAACATCCATGCTACAGTATGATAGGAGTTGCTTGATTGAATATTTCATCATCCGTCCATTAATTCATATTTATCGATGAGTCAACTCTCTCAGACTTCATTTTATTTTAAATTATTTCAAAAGAATATTTCATCATATTGCTGCTCATCTTTTATAAAACTTTCAAAAGATATGTGTACAATTTATGCCTTATTTAAAATGATATTCTCATCACCCGTTTATTTCTATATTTCAAGCGCAATTGGCCAATTGTGACCAATCTTTGTTTTTTTCTTTATATAACAGCATTTCAAAATATATTTCATAATCATTTTGCTATCTCTCCGATCTCGCAGTATCAATGATGTATATGTGAATAGGGCAAGTAAATAGTGGAAGAGAGAGAGTTATTTCCCCGCGGGAATATGCAAAGAGATCTGACAATTGCTCATCACAACATAAATGATTAGATGGAAGAAAGGAAGCTGACCAGAAGACAGATGTCTTTATCATATTATTGCATGCAAATTATCATTCGAAAATGACACATCATTTCATCCTCTCTCTCTTTCTCTCCCTCTCTCCCTCCGTATTTCCTACTGCTTACGCATTCCTCTTCATCTCATCCTCCTGCATATCACTGTCAGATCAGCGATGAATCATCATCAGTTAACAATATAATTGTTGGTGTTATCAATCATTTATTCTATGAACTTACACTTTCATCAATTGATTTAATTGTTGGAACTGATAATGCTATCATGATAGTGCTGCTGGTGAGATGATAAATGCGATATTAGCATCTTTAAATGCTTCCTTCACCAAAAATGCTCTTTTATTTCATAAATAGGAAAAAAAGTTTTAATTAGTTTACACGGTCGATGTACTGTATGCTCAGTTATTTACTTTATTCATTCTGTCTTCCCATTCCTCCTTCATATCATATTATGAGGTGATGAAAAAATGATACTCTCAGACGATCAGTTCTAATTTAAAACTGTTTGTAGTTGTCACCGGTGATGATTCATCGTCCTCTAACTTGTCCGTTTAAAATTCATTTTGTTTCCATCATTATTTTATGTGTCATTTGTTTGAGTGATCAGCAACGTTAATAAGTTAGTAAATTTTGGCATTTCTTCGAAATATTTCACATAATCTTTTTAGTAACTTTTACATAACATTCCAGGATATCTCGGTACTCTTCTAGTATATATCATTCATTAATATACCTTCCATATATGATTGTCATGAATTCATCATTTCTTATATTTTCTATAATCACTTTTTCGATTATTATTTTTTGTTTATTCATTAATTGTTCAACTTTTGATGACAGTTTTTGCTATTTTGAATATTTGTCACAATGAGTTGTATTTGTACATTTGAAAATAATTCTTACCAGTAGCAAAACAATTGAATATTTACGGTGGAAAATTATACTCAACAAGAAGGGATTTCTGCTTTTCAACAATTTTGGTATTTCAATAAAGAATGTAATTTCGTAATGAATATTTAAAATTCTTCATTTACTGGTGAGTAATTGTGAAATCAAATCTTAGTAAATAATGGTGAAACTTTTAACTTACATCATCACTCTGGTGGATGAGTAATTGTATTATTTAGTAATACTTCCGGTACCTTTATTTCAGTATTATAAATTGATGAAAGAGGAAATTGCTGTCGATTAAATCCTCGAGAGAACAAAAAAAAAAGGGATGAAATAGGATTTGATTAGTGGAACGGGTTACAGGAAGTAAAATGTGAATAACCTCATTATATCATTTTCATATCAGAACTGAATTCATCTTTGTGTGAAAATAGATTAAGCATTATAGCGTGGGAGGGAGAGGGAGATAGGATAGCTTCTCTTTTTTTTTTAACAATTTCATTTCTATAATTTAAGGAATGTGTTTGTTTTTGGATGATGATAGACATCATATGAAGTGATAGCAATCCTTCTTGTTCTTGTCTTTCAGGAATATTGGCATTTTAACTGATAAATGCACTAAACATGAAGAACATACCCTCATCATTCTAAAATAGACTGAAAAAGTGTAATCTTTACTTTCTTCCTACATTTAGCATATCTTTTCATGTTTTCAACTTAAATTTAATTCGAATTCAGTTTAATTTAATTTTGCCACAACTTTTGTTTTCATTTCCATTTTTTTTGGGAGAAAAAAAAGTAATATGATTTGGTACTTCAACAATACTGCTTAAAATTATTGTAGAATGCCATGTAAACATATCTTTCTTCATTGACGATAAAAAATTGGTTAGAGATTATTTGATGTTTGATTACAGCATAGGTAAATCCATTAGTGAGGATTTCCTCGAAGTATGTTATGTTTATACAAGTAGTAGTAGTAGTAGTAGTAATGGTAGTAGTAGTAATAGCAGGAGTAGTAGTAGCAGTAGCAGAAGTAGAAATGAGTTTTTGCATACTTCACTTTAACAACTGTTGGTTGTCACAACATTCTCTCAGTCTATGTCTCGTTTGTTTGTTGGTAAGCTACAACCAATAATTAAACTCTCGATGTGTTGTTGTTAACCTCCGATAATTAAAGTATGAAACAGATATAGGAACATTAATGATGGTGAGTAATCATTTAAGTTAAGAAAGTTGATATTATTACCCATGTGATAGTGGTGCTTCTTAGAAAGCTTTTGCTCTACTCTACCCTTCATGTTATTACTACTGTTACTTGAGGAGTTCAGATTACCGATAAATTGCTAATTTTGATATTCAGCATACTTAAGAAATTTTCCAATTAGCAATGTAGTTTAATTTGTTAAATATTGTTGGTTTTTGTGTTCATCGAATTCTTTTTCCACTCTTTCGATCAGACTACTCTCAGTATTATCATATTAATAATTTTTGCACAAATAAACATAAATAAGTAAAGTTAGCACTTAATATTTTCAATACAACAAATTAAACATAAAATTTTCTTTGATAATGTTATACATATCATCTCATCAATTTTCTTTTCAAAAATTTCTATCATCGCGTTGAATTCACAATTTCTAATTTGAACTATCAAATTTCCCGGAACACTCTCATACAAAATATTTCTTTCACAAATATTCATTTCGCTTTCTCCTCTTTGATGTCTGTTTTTCAAATAGAAATTTCACACTTCTTTGAGGTAAACCGCACGACCATTCACTTCATACTTCCATGACCTTTTGAAACTGAAAATGGACTACGTTGTAGTTGAAATTAGAGACCATTTTAGGATCATTGATTCTTTTAGCATTCTTCCTCTCTATCACATAATAAAAATGACAGCTTTATAATTAATTAGTATTTTATTTGATGGGGACAAGCAGTCTATCAACTAATCCAACGATGTTGTTCATTTATTTCATTTTTAATCATTTATCTAGCATTTATAAGTGATAATTAAAACCCCTCATTTCTATCAAAATTTTTCCAAATTTTTTTCTTTTGAAATTTGTTATGTCATTGTTGTTACACGTGCTTCGCATATCAGTTTCATCATCTAAATGAACAAGTCTTTTCATTCATTCTTGTTATACTGTGCCCATAAAATATTTTCCATATATTATTGCACATGTGCGCACCTATTATGTGATGATAACTCGTTTCCTTCCTAATTTTTGCATGATAATTTCATAAGAATGCGTTTGTTTGTTTTTTTCTTCATTAACTGTTTATGACTTTTTGCAGGAAAGAATTACATTTTGAGACTTTCAAATTCCGTATTACAAAAAATTGACCGTCTTGCTTTTTGCATTTCCGGATACATTTATTTGGTAACGAACATCAAGTGCTGTAGTTGTAGTGGTGTAAGGCCTAATTAGGCACTGTTTGTTAATTATAACATTCCACCAACTGTGATGACTGAGACTGAAACAAAAGTTACTGCTGACATTAACGAGGTTTTTTTTTTGTTATTCCTTTCATCCTATTTCATTACGTACAATTTACCAATCAAATTAGTTTGGAAGACCAAATTTGTCCAAATATAGACTAGCGAATTACTTGATTGTTAAAAATTAACTATGCCTTAAATGAGAATTAACTTCAGTGATAATTTAGTTCATCTCCACTGTGAAATTATCTGTTACATTGAACATTCTACCGTACCATATTTCATCTTATTAAAGAAAATTTTGCTCACAAGCTTACATTCTGCGAATAAGTATCCATTTTTTGTTCTATCATATTTCGAGGAATGAGTAAGGAAATGATTCTACTAGTGTTGAGGATAATTATATATAACGGTTGATAACATTCATGTTTCTCTTAACAATTTAAGTTTAAATGGAGTCAACCAGGTGATTATACTTCACGTCATTGATTTCACCTGTAAATGAATTCAATTATCTTACAAAATTATTTTTTGTAGACTACAAAAATGAATTCACCAATGACGGAAAGCAAATCAGGAAATCCTAATGAAGATATACCGGCTGTTGATGCTGGTGCAAAAGATTCGAATGCTGTTGAACTGAAGGGAGATGAAGCAAAGGAAAAAGTACCGGAACCACGGAAGGATCTACGAGAAGATCCAATCGGTTGGGTGAATTCACTAATTCCCGGTGCTGTTCACAAGGTATCAGCTTCTGAAGTATTCACCGTTAGATGTAGCATTCAATTGCCTAAACTTCTAAGATATCAAAATTTTTACTAATAATTCTGCTTTTGGTTTAACATACTATGAAATTCAATGGAGGATTTCAAATAAATATTATATTGAAAATTCAAACAGGTTTTATTAATTTGAAAAGAATACTATTAGTTTGCAGGTAAATTATCGATTGTTAGATTGGGCTCAGCAATTGGCAATTGAAGAAGAAGATAAACGGCAAATATTACCTGGCAAAAGTGATTCTGTTACAAAGAATCAGTTTTTGTCGTTTCTTCGAGATGGTTCATTGTTGGCAAAATTAGCAAATCGTCTTCAACCAGGCACCATAGAAACGATTCATGAAGGAGAGGCAGCTAAAGATAAGACCAATCAGACATCTAACATCAATGCTTTCATCAATTTTGCTAAAGAAAAAGCAGGTTTATCTGAGGAGCAGGTTACTACTATTTTCCTATACTTCAATTATTTTCAATCGTCAGTAATTTATTATAATATCACTTCCAAATTTAGCAGATTACAAGTCACTTCATTACTTGTAAACAGGAGAGATACTGTTAATAGTAGCAGTAACAGTAAAGTAAAATATTTTTCTTTTGTTATGATTCTTTATTTGATTGTTAATAATTTACAATTGAGTTGGAAAAAGTGATATGTATTTTGATCGGAGAACAATGGTTGCCTTTGTCCATTTTGCGAGATTATTTGTTTGTACTCTTCTTGCAGAAGAAGGAAAGAAAAAAAAATTACACACATAAGTAATGTGTATTCCATCAGTCTGTTGATAGAATGTAAATTGCAATTAGCTCGTCGTTGCTTTTCCACAATTTTTGCTGATGAAGAGTTGAACTGATAGCTAACAGTTATCAATTATCAGTGACTAACTTGAAGGGATTAAATTTCTTGTACTTTTTAATACTATGATCTAAGAGAATTGAAATGAGTCAATTTTTGTGATCAATCCATCAAAGGCTATAAGCTCGGCATTTCTTTCGTCTGACAGATAAAAAAGCTAATGATATCATTCATTCTGCTGTAAAATAGTTCCAGCTGCTTTGAAACAACTGTGGAGTTGTAAATTGCGTGCGAGCGTTTCGCGCAATTAAAAAGTTCTTTTGTCTGTTCTGTGAAGAAAGAAGTAGCACCTGACGAAAAGGAAAATTAAGGGGGTCAGGAAGGTAGGAATGAAGTAAATAAAAGCACTTACTGGAAAGAGTACCATTCTCAGATCTGCAAATGTTACACTGAAATGATGAGATTTAAAAAAAAGAAGGAGAGAAAAAATGGAAATAAAATACATTTTTTTTTGTTATCATTACAGTTCATTACTTTTTTAGCAAGATTGGAGCACTATAATGTTAAAGCTTATCAGAAGATATGTGGAAGTTTCAGGAGCATTATTTTAAATATTTTTGTGTTTTTGATTGAAGGCTGGATGGTTTAAAGTGATCATCAATGCAATTGTTGATTAAATTAAAGATGGAAGAATAGCTTGAGAATGGTACTTTGGATAGGTATCTTCGAAAAGATTTTGTTTTTTTATCGTTCTATCAAGTATATATAACGATAGATCTCTCTCTCTCTCCCTCCCTCTCTTGATAGCCAGATGGTTTCGACATCGTTTTAATTATAATCAATGAAGCATAATACTGGCAGTTAATGCCTTTAATAGGAGTAGTAGTAATAGTAATAAAAGGTTAAAGGACAAATGCTTAAAATAAAATAAACATGTAACGCGAATAGATAAGATTTGCCTTTCTAAATGGAATAAATTCCAATGAAATTGTATGTATGTGTGCTTGTATGTGTGTGTGTGTGTGTGTGTGTGTG